CTACATAATCGGATTAAAAGTTTTATAGCTGTATTGTATATCTTCAGATACAAGGTGGGTTAGTCGAAAACATCTTAAACTGCCAGTTTTAGTTTGGTTTTTGTTATTATATCATATTAGCTGTCCTCTCTGTATTTCAGTTCTCTAATGAGGGTCAAACTTACAGTGAGCTATCAACAAATTATGAACGGACTATAGAAGTGTTTGAAATGAAATTGAAACTTTGTCTCAGGAAATATTGCGATCTTAATGTTTGAATTTTTTGTGTAATACTGTGGACATATGTTTGAGACAACTGTACCAACATAAAAAAATCGCTAATCGAATGTGGGTAGCCGGGAAATTTGAACATTCAATTCATTTTTTGGACAGTCCCTGTATATCGTAATTAATACTGACAATTCCTAGACAATAGATGATTATCAAAAAGAAAATGAATATTATTATTATTTTAAGCGAAGATAACAAAACTGTACTGTAAGGTAATGAATTTGCTCTTATATGATTGACCTTGACAGTGTTGAGTAATGTATTTGTCCAACGATGTTGAGTAATAGATCATTACCGACTCAGAGGAGAAAAATAGGGTTATTACCCAACAAGAAACGGTCATATAAATGGCGCTTTGCCGATATTCATAGAAAAACTTGATTTGATCGAATTAGTGAGCATATAAGTTGTTTTGTTGTACGAAGTTATCGAATTTAAAAGGAAAAATTAAATAGGAACATAGTTGTCATTCACGCAACAAACAGTTTTTGGATTCTGGATAATAAGGAAGTTCAAAAGGACGTTAAGCTTTTTCAACCGAAATGTTTGAATAGAAAAAATCTAAGTCTTTTAACATTTTTTTGGACAGTCAGTTCTAATATTTTGTAAATTACTATGCAGTCTCAGTTAAAATTAGAAACCAAACTCGATTGATTCTTGATGACTTCAAAACTCGCAATATTGAGTTCACAATTGATTTTTTTTTGTTTCAGCGTGTTATGGTATTGTTAGTGTTCCGGTAGGTCCATGGTATTGTCGTAAATGCGAAAGTCAAGAGAGATCCGTTAAAGTGGTAAGTAATTTTCATGGATGATGATATTTTTTCTTGTCAGTAGGGGACTTGTTCTCAAAGACTATATCTACCAGAATTTAAACTTTCAATACCTACTGCCTAGTTTTTACCGATGTATTTTCAGGTTGACTGTACTGGTTGAAATATTTTACAAAATATAAATACCACAAAAAGTAATTTGTTGTGTAACTTATCATAAATGAATAGAGAAAGGAATGTTTCATCTTTCAATACACATTTCTTCTTCAAGGAATGTTTTTATCTGCAGGATATCTTCTTCTTTTCCATTCGTTGGCCTCAGCGACCAGGAAAAAGAAGAAGATATCCGGTAGATTCTGATGAGCCTATATGGAGTTTAGAACTAGTTATAGTGGAGTTTAGAACTAGTTATAGTAGAACTGGTTATAGTTCTGAACTCCAGGCATCACCAGAAGATGGCAAATAAAACTTTGCCGAAACTTTGAGAAAATAATCCTTGTGAGGATTAAAAACACAGAACATGGAGCGAAATCCGGAAAAACAGCTCATCATACTTTGTCCATGAGAATCATTGAGTTAACATATATAAATAATGAAGCGTGTGTTTATGTCCATAACAATATCTCCAAGTTTATATTAAACAGGGAGAATAATGGTTTCTCCACTATATCAAAACACCTTCTCCCAACCGAACTTGACCATTGTACTTTCTAACGAGAGAAATTGATATTATTCATAAAAAATTGTATTTTGAAATAATGCCTAGATATACAGCAGAATTCCCACCAAATGGTTATTCAACTAGAGTATTTTCATTGCTTGTAACTCATTTCACTACGACTTGAAAGATTCTTCAACTATTTTATGGCTTCAATAAAGTAAAGACGTTTTATTGCCCTATATATTTCAATTTAAGAACCCTTGAACAACTTTTTTACCTGGTCACCACTTAAAAAAAATGTCACCATTCCCAATCCGTCCATGGTCCACGTAACTTCCACAGTGAATTTTCAGAAATGCGAGCTGTGCCCCAGCAGATATGGGGCCCTCAAACGTACCGACAATTCAGGATGGGCTCATGTCGTTTGTGCGTTGTATATTCCAGAAGTGCGTTTTGGAAATGTTACTACTATGGAACCCATTCAGCTCCAGCTGATTCCTGCTGAGAGATTCAATAAGGTAAGATTGACTAGTTATATTAGGTTGTTTCGAAAGTTGTGTCCGTTTTTATGAGCCTACTTTGAGCTGTAATATTTATCGAAATAAGCGCCATTTGAAGCGCAACACAAGTTGATGAATTGCGTCGGGATTCGATGATGTTGACGACGGCCGTTTTTGACTGGCCCTGATCGACGAAGGTTCTACCGACGAGAAGTTATCGAATTGCTTGAAGAGACGGTAGTCGATAGGCTTGGGGTCTGGGGAGTATGCTGGTTGATTGTATTTATGTATATACCTCATGGATGAATAAATACCCCTTTTTTTATTGAGGGGGAATGTTATAGGCGTGGATGAGATGCATTCCTCTGCTTAAGGGCGGAGATTCTGATAATCCCTCTAATCTCCGCTCGTATCTCTCATATCAACCATCGCAAAAATCATTGGTCCCATATTTTTCTTATTATATGTTAATGACCTCATCAAGCTTAATATTTTGGTATGTATTACATTTTTCAAAAGTATTCACTACCCAAGCTTTGTCTACAAGATTATGTCTTGTGATAATAAAGCATATTATTATTATGCTGAATGTTTGATAAAATTACAAATGATACATATCAATGCCTCGTGCTTACATGTACACTTTGAGATTTTATTTGCAGACATCGATAAGGAAATATTGACATGTTAATTGTACTTTGTTGTCCCATCTCATTACACCATTGTTGCATCTGCTTATTTCAGAGTCATCTCCGATTCGCCATTATGTCAAATAAAGCAGTTTTGCAACTTTTCACGCTAATATCAACTTCGAAAAATATTCCGACAGGTAAACATTGTTATTTATTTTTTGGATTATCAGCGAATCAATTGTTGATAACAACGGTAATCTCGAATGAATCTCTACGAATGTAGGTAGTAACACTTAATCAAAAGTTTATCAATGAGAGAAACTCATTCTCAACTTAGGGTTATTTCTGAGTGATGAAGAATATGGGTATTGATAACGAGGTATGTGAGTCAGGTCTGCTTCATTGAAATTTATGGTTTCGCGATTTGTTTCTCAGGTTTGTTATATTTGCGACGAGAAGAAACGACCTTCTAGTTCTACTGTCGGGGCTTGTATGCAGTGTAATAAGGCCGGTTGCAGGCAACAATTTCACGTAACCTGCGCTCAAGGCGTTGGGCTCCTGTGCGAAGAAGCCGGCAACTATTTGGATAACGTTAAGTACTGCGGATACTGTCAGCATCATTACAGTAAGCTGGTGAGTTGAATAGTAATAGTTTTCGGATTTGAGCGTACTTGTCTCGATTTGGAATTGTTTTTTAACCCTACTGTTTTTAGATTTTCAGTTTATCAACGTTTCATCTCAAAGACACTGTTATCTTGCCATGCAATGTTGCAATTTGCTATAAGATTAATCAACTGTGTCAGAAAGTAGACATTTATTCAATACCACTGAATATATTCAAAAAAGAAATAATGATTCCTACACAATATAATTAATGAAAGAAGGAAAATTTCACTTACATAAAACACTGTCATCCTCACTGCTAGACATCCGATGTTTCGCCGTAAATCTCTTCCGTTTGTATTCCAAACATTCGTATTGGAATCGATTCAGATATCATTCGCTGGATTCCTACACAATGTAATTATTGAAAGAAGGAAAATTTCACTCACATCATCACTGCTAGACATCCGATATTTCGCCGTTAGACACTTGTTTATCGGCTCTTCAGTAGCAAGTACGGGTAACATAAGAAAAAACCTCAATTCGTTCATAATTACGATTTTTTGTCACCCATGTTGAAGTTGAAGGGCAAAAACTTTCTTTCCCAAAAATATACCCTTCCAATTTGAATTCCTATAATGATTCATTATGAAATAAATAAATGATTGTAGTAGAGTCATTTGAGTAATGAATTGTGTAGAATTTGATACTGATGCTGCAAATTTTGAATGAAACGTGTTCATTTCACAAAAATACGAATTTATAATAACTTGAAAAACATCCGAAAGTTTGGCACAGTCTGAAATTGATTAACGTAATTATTTTCTTCAAGGCGGTAAAGGGGTGGAAATTTATTAGGCTAGGCTGCCAAAACAGAGTTTTACAGATTCTAATTTATTTTATATATCACTGATTATTTTTTTGTGGAATTTTCGGAAGCTTCTCTGATTTCTGCAGTTTGTATTTTTTAAATTAAAATCGTTGTGAGAGCTACCAGAATTGACTCCGCGAGCTACCGGTAGCTCGCGATCGACAGGTTGGCGACCACTGATGTAGACCATACTTCAAAGATCTTGCTATATTAACCGTTCCTTCCTTGTACTTTCTTCAATTAGTAACTGTTGCAAAAAAACACTACCACATCTTTACAAGGAACTGTGATCATTATTCTGATCAAATGGCAATAAATACTAGAGAAAGAACCGACCTCAATGTACCAAAACACACATCATTTTATGAGAAGGGACACCACTATAAAGCCATTAAGGCATATCAGTCACTCCCAACTGAAATAAAAAATACTCAGTACCTGAGAAAATACAGACTCCTAACGATAGAGTATCTGAAAGATAAAAATTATTACAGTTTCAACAGCTGGTGATGGGTCTTGATGTAGTTGTCCCATAAACTTTCAAACTACAATAATTTTTAGTAGATGTATGTATGCGTACTTGTATTTACTTTATTCACTCAATGAATTGTATTGTAATCGTTGTCACTGTACATACATTTTAATGCATTGTTTTATAACCCGAGGTGCTATGCCCTCAGTTGATTTTATGGCAATAAAGAATATTATAATTATATCTGTGTGTCATTGACACACAGATAGAGGCAGCTGAAATAAATGTTCTTGTCTGAAATGCACCTGTTGATAGTATTTTTTCACACCAGAAAAAAGTTGGCAACGTGAAGTGGATCCCCCCCTACAAACCGGTAGCCAACGAGTCCTACGAGGACTCCAACTCCGACAAGGAGACGGATAGCGCGCCCTCGAACTCCAAACGTTCTCCCCCGACTTCCGGAAAGAAGAAGACGAACGTCGCCACGAAGCAGGCCCCTTCGAAGACTTCCTCCAAGTCCGGTTCGACGTCCCACCAGAAATCCGTCCACAACAATAATAAGAACACTGACAAAAGTAAGTCGTCAACAGTGAAAAGTGCCAAAAGTGAAGAGAGCGCGAGTTCCGACGCGAAAAAAGAATCGGACCCGCCCGAACAGAGGGAGAAAGAGGCGAAAGACTCGGGTAGTAGTAGTAGTAGTAGTAAAGGTGCCAAAAAGCGTAAGGCTAATTCTAGGACGCCCACGCCCGTCCGTGTAGTGGTTACTGAGGTTAGTGTCGTGACGGCCGCGACGAGTGCGAGTTCTACGACTACGTCTAGCGAGGCCGACGTGAGTGTCACTGCGAATAGTACCGGTAAGAACTCTGCCGTTAGCGACAGTTCCGTCGATAAACCCAAGAAGGTAATCTGGCAGCAGAATGGCCTTATTGATTGATTATTCCTTCTGTTCCTTTATTCCTCTTGTGATTGTTGTCTTGTTCTGTCTTACTTTTGGATGTTCTCTCATATTACGAAGGGGGTCCCAGAAGTTCCCGGCCCAACAAAGAAAATACAATGGTTTTGGATAAAAATGTTATTAATTTTTCAACATAATCTCCTTGTAGCTCTGTACAAATTTCCAAGCGATGTTCAAAATAGCCAATAACTGACGACATTACTTCTTCAGCGTTGGAAAATCTTTGATCGCTGAGCCATTTTTTCAAGTTTGAGACCAGAAAATAATCCGAGGAGGGTAAATTTGGTGAATAGGGTGCATGAGGTAACAATTCAAACTTTTATTCGTTAATTTTGGTCATCGCGATAATGGATTTGGGAGCTGGTGCATTGTCTTGATGAGACAAGACTTTTCTTATCCAAATGCGGTTGTTTTTGCTTGATTTATTCACTCAAACTTTGCAATAAGTTCGCATAATACTCGGCGTGGATAGTTTTACCTTTTTTAAGACAGTCAATGTAGTCAAGTTCCCAGAGGATTTCACCTTACGAAAGGTAGGGTGGAAGATTTTTTTTTATTTCTTTCAATGGGTATAAAGAGTAAGATATAAAAAAATGTGACTAAATCTGGGCTCGGCACAACTTTTGATAGCCGAAAAACCTCGAAATTTTCGGACATTTTTCGTTTTTTTCGCAAAGTCTCGAAAAGGAGTGGTTTAGCGAAAGAAAATCCCTATACAAAGTTGTAGAGCATTAAATTCCCTACAAATTTCATATATATTTTTTTCTTCTACGATCAATAGGGAGCGAGCTACAGCATCTCAAAGATGGACCATTTTTGTCAAAATGGTATAAAAGCCAAATAGCGCCTGCTTTCTCGCGCACTTTCAGTCGACGATCATTCAGTACCGCTTTGTAGATTTCCTTCACAGTTTCTGGAGTAGTCACCTCATTTGGTCGACCACTGCATTGCTTGTCTTGGTTGTGCATTTCTGATGTTTTCCTCAAACCGTGTTACCGTAGCATCTAAGGCTTCGGGGGTTTCCGGGGGTCGTTCTATGACGGGGATTGCTTCCAAATACGATTTGAGAGCTTCCCAGTTGGTCCTGAACATCATATGTAGCGCGGGAAACTGCGTCATCAGAGTTTTTAGCTGGTCTAGTGCGGTTACTAGGCCTTCGACTGCGTTTACATTTGCACTTTGCTGACGGCTGTTTGCGCCTCGAGCTGCATTTGCATAAGAGACGCCGCTCATCGACCTAAAGTCAATGATATTCCTTAATTGAAAATCGTGATTCTTCCGGAGTATTTCATTCCTCGTCTTGAGTTGGAGCTAACAACAAAACTGTCACTCCATCTAGTGGACGGGGTACTAACCAACTGCATATCTGAAATGTGGCCGATTTCCTCTGAATAAGGAAGAAAACGTTCTTATTAGTCAGTGGGCTATAATTGAAGACAGGCAGTAAACAAATCTAAAGAAATGAACTTCAAGTCTCGGATATACCTACACAGTAGGTTGAATGGACTGACGCCTATCAGAAAGCAACTACTCCCCTGGAACGTTTAAAGTTCATTTCTTTAGATTTGTTTACTGCCACTCTTCAAGCTCAGCCCACTGACTAATAAGAATATGTAGGTATACTCGACACTGGCTTGAACGTTTAAAGTTCATTTCTTTAGATTTAATTCCATAGACTTTTTTCTAGTTCAGATGATTTCTTCTCTTGCATCTCTCTTTGTTTTTCCAACCTTCTGCAACTTTTTCCTCTGTTTCAAGTTATGTTTCTATGTTTGTTTTCTCAAAGACCTTTGATCCTCTTATTCTGAATGTTTTTGTATGACTAATTTTTTTTTAAACTATCGCTAATGTTATATGATTTCATAGTTTCAACTCGATTGCTTATATAACTAATAACAACACTCCTTTGTAGCCTAAAGTCGAGAACACCCAGTCGATGATTACGAATCAGCCCGTCGTTGCCTTAACCTCCATATCAACCGTGAAATCAGTTTCGCCGACCAGTACAACCACAGCCGATATCGTAGCGCCCACTGTATCGAACGAAACGGCGTTGCCCACCTCTTCGATTATTCAGACTGTTCAGTCCCAGTCGCTGGTTGTCTCGGTACCTCTGGTGAACACTTCGCTGAGTCCCCACAGATCCATAATAAACAATCAAACTAGCGTTTTGACCGCCACTCCTCTGATTCAGGAGACCAGCAACGTTAGCGTTGCGAGTGCAGAGAGAAGAACGCCTGTTATAAGTAGTGGTGAGTTTTTCTTTTGTTTTGCAAGGTTATCTTTTGTTTTGGTAGGTTACACTGGTAAACACACAGTTTGCTGCCGGGGATTTTTGTACTGTTTCTAGGTAATTGGTCTGCTGAATCCAAAAATGCCACCAGATTTGCTCCATCAGATCGTTTCCAGAAAATACGACAACAGATCACATTTCTAACATATAGGGTAATTTACCGCAGCACTACCTACATATATGTAGTGCTGCTACCCATCAAATAAACGAAACACGAATAAAAAGTAAGATATTTATTGTACAACAATATACTTACAAAAATCATCATACAAATCTACCAAAAAAACTTAACTTTTCATGTAACCTAACCAGCAGCACAAATCTGTTATTCGGCGTCACCTAAAAGCTTTCTTTTATATGACTTTCTTGCAAAGGCTTTGAAAGGACGGTCCCTTTGAAGACTCCGACAGTAATCCGCCATCTTGTGAGTGTCTCATCTCCCCTGATATCTTTCTTCCATCATTTTGATATTTTGGTGGAAGCGTTCCCTTTGTTCCTCACTGAGATCACCAAGATTTTCTGGGAAACGGTCTAAATAGCTGTGGAGGTAATGAATTTTAATACTCATATGACAACCGTGTTTGTTAAAATTGTTGAGCATTTCTTTCACTAAATCTCGGTAATTTTCCGATTTATTGTTTCCAAGAAGATTTTCTACAACTTTCACAAGAGAGGACCATGCATTACACTCAATTTCAGTCATCGATTCTGTAAAAGGCGAATCTTTTATAAGTTGTCGNTGATTTTGATTTTTTTAACAAATTTTAGCGTTGAAAGTAGGTTGTGTATGTAGAATAGTCTTATAAATAGGTATATATTCTGATTTTAGTTGACTAGTCTAATGAAGTAGTAACATTTGTGTACCAAATTATTTTGTAACATATCATGTTCTGCTTTTACAGATGATTAAATTCTATTCTATTCTGTAGGCAAGCAACTCTGAAGAATCCTTTGGAAGGTTCAAATCTGTAATAAGATCGCTTAGCTCTTCCTGAGTAAAGCGCTCAGGACATGTTGAATCCCCTTCAAAATCACTGTCATCTTCCTCAAACCTATTAGTCTGTAGTTCGTCAGATAAAGTTTCGACATTATCCTCTGGTATCGTAGGTAGGCTGCTAAATATTGGAATGGGTATCTGTTCAAGCTGATGTGGAATTTGTCTTATTGCTCAATCCAGGTTAGGATATATCTACGTAATGTCGATTTTTACGATTAATGCCCTTTATATTCACAAGACAGAACTAGCGATCGTCAAAATGATTTTTTGGTTCCCTCCATACCCTTGAAACACCAAACTTTAAACATTTTCGTTGTTCTTTGGTCCACTGTCGCAAGTTTTCAACAAAAGTTTTGCACACTACATGTGGAACCCAGGATTTATCTTGATCTCCTAAATGAATACCAAAATAGGCTTGATATGACGTTTTTATAAAACCACAAACTGGTTTTCTACTTTCCTTTACAATGTACAACACCTGCTTGTAGAAGCCAACATATTGCATTTATAGTGGTGGAATATACAGAAATCTAAGATTATTCAAGTATTTGATGAGTATGTTATATCTCGAAAACTAAAGCTGATACAAAGAAAAGTTTTGTATTTTTGGAATCATCACAGATGAATTAACCAAAATCAGTTGATTTTTTTCGGCAGCAAGACAATTTTTTTTTGTTGGGCTGTGTTATCAATGGTTTTCTTGAAAGTTGATGAAATTTGTACTATTCATAGATATTATGACTGGTGGAAACAGCAATCAAGAGCTTCCAACACCGGACATGAGTTCGGGAGGTTTGAAGATAACCTTTGAGAAACAAATGGATTCCATCAATACTGAAGAAGATATGGAGTTGGAGTTGGAGCCCACGCCCTCTAGATCCGTCGAAGTACCTGCAAAACGTGGAAGGTAGGCCGTTATATGTTTTTTTCAGGTTTCAGACATCGCAATTCTGTGATTCCAAAAATTCCATTTTTGTTGGGATCTTACGGAAAAATTGATTTACGTTGAATGATAACCAATGTCTCCCTACTCCGCTGAAGAGTTCTTGGTACACTGGACTTGGGTATTGGTCAGTGTTTTAAGTCCCCTTCTACCCATACTATGTTCAAATGACGTTCCATTGTTTGTTGATTGTGAATTTATGAGCTTTTTTGCTGATGATATTGAGGTTCACATCGCATGTAGCAATGTAAACCTCGAAATGACTCTACAGAAATTAAATAATACTCTAGCAAGACTTTGGCTTCACTTATGACCAATCTTTATATCATCATTTCGATTTTGAAGACAAATACCCATTAGATATGGCTCTACATCAAAATAAACGCAAGCGAAACATAAGTGGAACCACCTATTGGTGTGACACCCAAGTCAACTTGCCAAGTTTTTTATGTCAGTGTTGGTGGTTTGATTGTTGACGTGGTAACTTTCTACTAGTAAAATCGAACACTAAATGAGAATATTCTAACTGAACAATGATGTTCATTTGTCGTTTTTATAAACAAAAAATAACTTAACAAACCTTATCAGGTTGTTGGAACTGCCATATGGCAGATAAAAGGGAATATTTCTAGAAGTATCGATATTAATGTGTTTGTCTTCAGGAAATTATTAAATGTTCCGCCATTTTGTACTAGGTGAAGATATTGACTTCATATTCTAGGGTTGTGAAGTATTCGTCAGGAGCTTCAAAATGATGTGTCACAAGACCCCCTTTCCATTCAATTTTTTTCCCAGATAGCGCCCAGTCGCCATCTTGAAAGTTTCATCTGTCAATTTCATTTCAAAATGAAGTATTCATGCATTAATTTCATTATCCCAAATTTAAATTTCTTGAGTTGACCCGTTGTTGACCCGGGGGGATATTGAATAAATTCACTGTATATTGAATATAAACTCCTGTAATGAGTTTTCCTGTTTAGATCTCAATCGCAATCGAATGAAAAGACTGACCGCTCAAGCCGCAGCAGGAAACGCAACAGCAATCTCGCCGTTGCTACAAGTGCATCCGGCTCCTCTTCCCTACCGGCCCCTTCGGTCTCGACTTCCCTCACGAAGCGATCGAGCCGTTCTCAGCAGCACCACCACGTTACCCCCTCGCCTCCCGAACCCCCCGGTGCCTTCGCCGCCATTTCTCAGTCGCAACTCAAGGAGTCGCCGCCGAGCAGCCCGAGTTCGGAGAGCCAGAGCAACCCTCCCCCTAGCACGAGCCGGGGCAGGGCGAAGAACAGGAGGAGCGCGCCGGCCAGCGTCAATTTGGCCAGCGGGTCGTCCAAGGATGGCAAAGATGTCAAGCTGTGAGTGGAGTTTCTGTTCTCATTTCTGTTTTTGATTTCCATATGTTCCTTTGTTCTTGTTCTGATGACCCTATCAAATATTCTTCACAATTCCATAATTCATCTAACTCCTAGGCGTCGTAGCCGGTCACCTTGAAATCAATCAATTCTTGTAGTCACAACGATTTTTTTAGATTTCAGAACGGCATTTCAGCCCCCCACATGTTGGGTAACCAACTGAATCCTACTTCTACCATGCACTCGAAGATGAGTGACCATCTGAACGCTGAAATAGAGGCGCACAGCATATTCAATCCCAGTGAGAACAATTCAGGACTGACAGGGCCTCAGTTGCATCATCGGGTAGTGCAGTCGGTGAGTAGCAAAGTATTACAAATTGCAATTCTTCATTCAGTATCCGGCTCGAAGGACCATAAATTGTACTTTATTTGCAATTCTTCATTCAGTATCCGGCTCGAAGGACCATATATTGTACTTTATTTGCAATGTTTCATTCAGTATCCGGCTCGAAGGACCATATATTGTACATTACCTGAGACAAGATATAAAATGAGTAGTATTTCACGATTTTCAAATTTTTTATTATCTGTGTCGACAACTATGTTTTTTTTTTTTCAAAGCACAAGGTGTCTACGCATTGAATTTAATTACATAGTGTCAAAATAAAGAGAAAATAGAAAAAGTGAAATATAACACGTAATTTGTTATGTTATAATAATAATGATCAATGACAAGAACATTTTCTTAAATCTTGAACTTTGTTTTCCATATTGTTCTTCTTTCAGGCAAGGGCCAGCAGTACCGGTTCGAGTACCGCTTCTGGAGGCAGCGGGCTGTCTTCGATGCTCGGGGGCGGGGGAGGGAACATTCCCCAAACCTTGGACCAGCTCCTGGAGAGACAGTGGGAGCAGGGCTCCCAGTTTCTGATGGAGCAGGCGCAACATTTCGATAGTGAGTAGTCTACATTGGAATAGAGAAAATGCAACCCCCATTTCTTCCGCCTGAAGAAATAATACTATTCAATTGAAAGAATTTTAATTATTCTCATATTGACCTTTGTTTTTTCAGTCGCTTCTCTTCTCTCTTGCCTTCACCAACTCCGGGCGGAAAATTTGAGGTTAGAAGAGCATGTGAGTTCGTTGTTGCAGAGGAGGGACCATTTACTGGCTGTCAATGCCAGGTTGGCGATACCATTGACGGGTCAACCGGCTGCAGCTCCTTTGTCGACACATCCTCATCCAGGTGAGTGAAAAAACAATTATAATACAATATCACTTCTAAAAAAATATGTAGTTTATAAATATGTTGATTATTGGCATTTTCTGGCAAAACAGGTAGATTTAGAAAAAACAATTACAACACAATATTTTAAGAAAACAGATAATTTATAAATGTGTTGATTATTGACATTTTATGGCAAAACTTAATTAGATAAATGATAAATTCTGGCAAAACAGGTAATTTATAAATATGTTGACTATTGGCATTCTATGGCAAAACTGAATTAAATAAAGTATTTAATATTCGAGGAAAACATATACATATATTTATAAATATGTTGATTATTGGCATCTTATGCCAAAACTAAATTAGATTAATGAATAATTAGGTAATGAATTAATTGTGGCAAAACAGAATATTTAAAAACTCCATCATGAGAGTGCTCACTGATGCCTCCGATTGTTATCAGTTAAGTATGACATTCAACTTTCATTTCCAGTGAACAATATTCACCCGACTGTTGCGGCTAGTCATGGGGATGTCCCGAGGCCTTCCAGACACAACGGAGGTAGCGCGGGTTATCCTAATCATCCCCAAGGCTCGGCCCAGCATCCTCCCGTAGAGAACGGTTTGCCTCCTGAAGCCTACCCACAAAACGCTCACAGGCGGAGCCCTTCCGGAGGTCAGCCGAGTCCGACGGTAAGGTAAGAGATTTCAGTTCTGTTTTTGTCTGTTTTACCAGGAAGGAATATACATGGTGCATGTGTTACAAAATATAGCTGAGAAATGTGCGTTTTCACATATCAATATAGATACTACAGTTCAGAAACAAATGTTACCAACCGTTTATAAAATGTCAGCAACAACATCGTGTTAGCCAGTCTTTGAAAAAAAACATTTCAACTCTACCGAGCTTATATATTCTACAACTCAGAATGTATATCGGTTTGGCTAACCTAACATAACCTATCTTTATAATGAGCATCTCTGTCAAAGTGTAAATACACGAATTTTTTGATTGATTTTCAATTTCTGATATAGATGTGAAATATTACAATTTATAGATCCAACAATCAATATTTTAATGTATATGGCAATAATCAACGCTTTTTTAGAGTTTGAAATTCGAATTACTACTATTGGATGTCGCCCACTACATTGCCCTCTTGAATAAGAAACAAAGTTTGGCTAATGGTTTCTCCAGACGAACTGCCAACATTAAAAATAAGAAGAAGATTCTGAAAAGTGTTTCGTGGGTTCTTCTTCTTTCTCTCGTTTATAGCCTCAGCCACTAGAGCTATCCAGCCAATGCTTTTTGATTGTTCCATATTGAATTAAGTTTCCAAGTAACGAAAATACAGTTTTGTCTCATATATGCACCCAGTATATTCCTTGCTCGTTAGTCTTCGGGTATATCGAAGCACCCTCATACAACCGTAATACAGGTGACGCTATTTTAGACACTCGCCGGCCGGAGCGTACCCTAATGCTAGCGGTCTGCAACGGCAAACCGCCGACACTAGCGGACGTTCTGCACCCCGACCCCAGCCTTATCTCTTGTTCGATAATAGGCCGGGGCCGTCCTCTTCTCAACAGGTATTTCTTCTTCTTCTTCATGCTTTCTTCCTCTCTGTGCAGTTTATCGCTTGTTGAGAACGATGCTTGCAGGAATGCCTTTGTAAAATGTTTCTGGTGTTGGGTGAAGTGAAGATGTTGAGCCCTCTGATTACGGATGCTCCACTGCCAGATGTTTCAAGTAAACTTATATAAACGGACAAAATTTTCGAAATGGATACTCAGAGACGAAAGTTCTCACATCTGGTATTGGCGTGGATAATCAGAGGCCGCCGAAAACATATTAACAAATTGTCAATAGCAGTACATACAAATTCATTTAGAGTTTTATTTTTTCTGCTAAACTTTTTTTTGAAATAATACCTGTCGGAATTTTCGGATCACCCTGTGCATTTAAACATAAGTACGAAATTCAATATGAAATTTTGCTTCATTATTGGTAATTTTGCGTCTCAGTTAACTTAGCTTTGCACGATTGTCTTGAATTACTTTGGATACAATTTCTTGGTACAAAATCTTTTGGAATAATTCATCAATGATAATTTGAATGTCTGGTAGATCTGGTACTGATTATCAGGTGACTCTACAGAAATTAAATNTTTTCATTTATCCAAAATTAAATGTGTACCAGTTTTTTTTTTTTCTAAAATGAAATCCTTTTAAAAACTCTCGGGTGGTTAGTAGATCTTTGAGTGGGTGTAGAAGAAATTTATTACTCACTTATGCTCCAGCCAATTTTTTTCTTTTCAGATGGTAGTAAGACGTGAGAGAGGGGAAAGAAGCGATAGGGACTCTGAATCGCATCATCATTCCTCCTCGAAATCTAGCTGAAACACAGTTGTGGACCCTTCGTTTAGTATTACAAAACTTTTGAACTTGCATTGACAAATCACAGAGTTGTAACAGGGAAGATTCTACCAAATTTTTGTGGGCTTTGAGCAAAATTTGGGTGTCGGAGTCTACTTGTATGAATATTTACCTTGGTTTCCGTCTTGATCCTGAAGTACGTCTGCTGCGTTTCTTCTTCTTTTTTATATTTCTTGGCCTCAGCTACCAAGGCTAACTTCCTTGTTTTCTTTATTCAGCTTCTCTACCCTAAAAAGTTGACAGTACAGATATTGTTGATAATAATATAATGATATTCGTTTTTGAAGAGTTCCAAAGAAAAGTATGCAGAAACATACATTTACTCCTCATCTGAAATATTTCGTGAAGACATGGGAGTAAATTTTTAATAATATCTATTTCAGGCTCATTCTAATTGGACGTGGACCAAACAAGAAATTATATTCATGTCAAATTTTTGAGCACTGGAATATGGTTAATGACCTGATACTCCTGTAAAAGCTCTGGTAGTGAATAAACGTAATTGATTATTACGTTCATTGTCAAGATTGTTGATTGAAATTGAATTTTTATAGAGGTCAATGAAGTCAAAAGGTTTTGAGATGGAAAAACAATAGAATTTTATAGTCAAGACTTACAATTATCTCGATCTTACTTTAAATCTGACACGAATAAATGACAAAGAATCATATGAGTAGACTCCGATTTTTTTTTTGTTTAGAATAACAAGTGGGAGTACAAAAAATTATTATCGTTTAAGACTGTCTAGGATTGGACTGAAGCAGCAAAGTAAGTAGCAATATTTATGTGGAAAATATGTTTAGGTCAATATATAACAAATTTCGTTGCTCAAATTTGAAACATTTTAGAAATTTAGGCGAATCGAAATGTTTTCATTAATTAAGTCGGTTTCACAAAAATGGTATGATATTTTATGATTTGAAAGATGATATGATATTTTATATAGTTTGAAATATGATATGCAGAAAAAAATTTCAGTGTTTAGTGGAAGCTTCTGCAAGTGAAAGAACTATTATTACTTCAGTTGTTTATGAAACAGTTTACAAAACATGTTCATTCATGAGATGAGAAGCAATTTAATTTTGATATATTTTCACTTGAAGAAGTTGATATGGTTTAAAAAGTTCTACCAATATTCCAAGAAATAAGAAAAAAAAAACAGTTTTTTTTGTGAGAGTTTTCAGAAAGGGGGGATTTACTTGTGGAAGGTCCGAAAGTTTCAATTTTTTGATATGTGTTTAAAATGCAAAATGCATAATTTCTTCCGCTCCGCGTCCGTCGCTATTAAAAAAAAGGCATTCTTCAGATTTTGACTCATATTTTTAGGTGCATTTTAGCTACAAGAGAGTTCTTCTTAATCATTCGGTGACTATCGGACTATAAAAACAGCGAACTTAAAATTTGATTTTCATGTTCAGTGATACATTTGGCGATACTCTGCATCGGAATTCCCAGAAAAACTGCCAAATATTACCCAGAACAGTATTTTGAATTTACCGCCAAAAGAAATTGGGGAAAGGCTTTCTCATAAGTTGCTGTGTAATTTTAAAAATCCGAATCAGACCGATGATTAAATCTAGTAGGTAAATCTAGTAGTAGCTGAGCTCCCACTTTTTCATGAGAAATTCTCAAAGTGAATGTCGTTACTAGTCAGTAACGAAGAATATCTTCAATTATATCTGGATGAAACTCAGGGAAAGCAACCTTATTAGAGTAATTTTATCCTGAAATATGTGTACATTAGAAGTGTTGCCATATTAGGTGATAAATTTGTACATATATTAGACTTTTACCTAGTTGCCATTTCGTGACTAATTATTTTTTAGATTTTTTTACAGTTGTTCCAGAATTGTTTCATGAGCTTGTCGCTGAATGTGTAACATTTTTCTATGTGGGCTGTAAAATTAAAAGAAAATACTGTTGAATTGAAAATTGATATACCTAAGTATATTTTTTTAATGCTTGACTCCTAGAAAATTTAACCTATAAATTTCATTGACACTGGGAGGACCGAAAAGCGTGGGTGTTTTTCTTAAAGTTCGGGAGGTTTTTTCCTAATGTGGTCAAGAAAAAACTGGTATGACCAGCAGGTTGCATATCAAAAGTATAAAGGTTGGCTTGTCCATTTCAGAATATCTTACTCATGGTAGGAAAAACTAACTTACCACTCATGAAAGTACCTGTTAAAGAAGTAAAGATTTCCAGTCATCGATGTTTTAAAGTAGTTATAATAGTAGATTTGTTCTGGTTGTACGAAATTCAGGTTCTAGGACGTAAGGATCATGCGCAGTTGATTGGTTTATTGAGGATAATTTAGGATTGATGAATCCCCTGTTATGGTTTCGACTGGGAAATGATCCTAAACTATCTTGAACCGTCCCTGATCGTTCTTGCTCTTGAGACTGAACTGTTGAGAACTGTTCCCGTTACCGCAATCATGTGGAAATTTGTTTGGGCTATTTTCTAGGATGTTTTTTTACTTATTTGATTTAAATAATGGATGATTGAGGTTAGATAACATTGGAACTGACTACAAGGAACAAAATGGACATGATCAACAGTATTTTCTCGTCTTCACCTCTTCATATATACGATAGGTGGCACAGTGGTCTCCTCAAAAAGCGTTCTGGTCATGTCTTGCGCTGTTTCCAAACAGTTTCGAATGTTAGAACCAGAACAAACCTATAATTTCTAATGAGAGTTCGTTAATGAGTTGAAATGGGCTATTTTATATTGGATTGAGAAGTTTCAGAGTATTTGAACGTCGTTTGTTCTGTGGTAGAAGTGACATGGACAAACTGCAGAATTGAGTCGTGAACCTTATCCTCCTTCGAGTATCTCTCGATATTAGCAAAGAATAGTTTCATTAGCAAGAACAGCAATATATTTGGCTTTCCCGACACGAGCAATGCTTTTCCGACACGAGCAATGCTTTTACTCAGTATATCAGCCTTCATTATTTCATTATGTATGAGTAGTCTCAAATAAGTTGCATTCGTCGCACAATTGAGCCAACTTTTTTTCTAAAGAACAGAACTTTTCGGTATACTAGGCCATGATCGAATGGAAATCATAGTATCTGACGTTTCGTCTGCTACTGCGGCAGACATAGGTAGTATGTGCGAGTACAAAGTTTATATCTCGAAGTCTCGGCAACAACTGATTGACGAGCTCTTCAACCGTGAGGAAGAAAGCTTAAACATCAACAAGACATGGATACCGGCACTTCACAACACAGAGATTCCCCCAATAATTGAAGAAGCGTCGGACCAATCAGGTACAAGAGCAGTCTATCGTCCGACACCTACTCCCATTATAATAGCAGGGGAGCCCACGATGCAAAATGGGGATTTAATCGAGCGCGTCAGATTTTCTAAAGGGGTGTTAAGTGCAACAAAAAAAGCTCTCATTCAATAATCTGACGATTTCAATCTATCAGAATCAATTGTGNATACAAGTGAGGGGGCTTACTGTGGTGCGGTGTTAGCGACGATATCTCTTTTTCCGTAAAATAGACTTGGTGTTTTGTCAAAGTCTGGTACAACTTCCTTTCAGTCGGTGCAGTAGGGTCTCTTATGATCTTCGTGTATTTTCCTTTCTGAAGCACCTGTTCTGTAATTAGTTGTGGATCATCGCAAACCTCATACTTGATGTTGATAAAATATGATTGAATTGAAGTTTTCGGAAACAAATATCAATGCTAATGAATGCCAGCACACAATTTTGATATCATGTCAAAAACATTTGAGGGTATTATTGTTTGTATAACTCGTTTTGAAATTAGGAACAATTATTTAATCATTTTCAGTGATCTAAATTACCAGCTCTATATATGCATTGGACTTATAATTTAGTCTTTTGAAATTTCGACTTTTTTTGTGGAAAAAAGAAATACCGACACTTACCCATTTCAGGAGTCCCAAGGAAAGTTGACAAAATTGATTCTACTTTAAAAAAATTATAGTTTTCATGTATGATATTAAGGAAATATTGTTTTGCAACTGGAAAAAGCCCAAATAGGTTAGTTAACATGAAGAATTCTGGAAAACTCGTATTTGTTAGTCGCAGTTTTTCTTCTTGAAATCAGACTAAAGAGTAGTCTAGTTTTATCGAGCGAATACGAAATTAGTACCTATTTTTCTGCCAATATTTTTGGGATTTTTTGTACTTTTATAAAGTAGATAGTTGATAAAAAAATTAGGTTAGTCGTTGACAGGCGTGAAAGTGGTTATTGTCGCATGAGTACTGTAAATTTTGTAAATTTTTGTTTCTGTTTGTAATATAAGCAATTGTAAAATTTCGTTGTTTCATTTATACACCTTATGGATTTCCATGTGTCTGGGCCTTGTACATCAAGACGTTTCATTTAAAATAAGCCACTCTGAATAAGTCATTCATATTAAGACTGTTCGAACTAAGCAAAATTATCGATTCGAAATGTATAGCGTGGTGTGTCCCAAGGCTCAGCTCTTGGACCTTTGCTGTTTATGTTATATGTGATTATCTACTGTCACATGTGGTTGACAGTTATATAACCATCTTAGCTGGTAATACTACAACAATTTACATAGAATGTTTAAGAATGTGTGAATTTTTTGTTTT